GTCTCAAACTGGATTATTTCTGCAGTGTGTTTTGGACCAACAATGCACCACTAGACTTATCTGGTAATTTAAGAAATTACTTGTATTTAACTTGTGTAATCTTATTTTTAGCTAAAATGTAAGGAGATATGGAGTCTGAATGACCTTGTAAAGCATCTATTCCACAAACAGCTTCTGAAAGACAAATTGGTCCGCTGTGGTAACTGGGAGCAATTTCCACTTACTGAAGAGCAAAAGCTCTATGCAGCTACTGATGCCTACGTATGTATCAAAAAATCATGAATTCTTCTAAGTTATATCTTAAAATATGAAATTTGCAAACCTACTTTGGTCCAGTTTATATATGGTCCCTTTGCTTCTCCCATCTTTGCGTGTTATAATCAAGCCTGGCAATCATTCAAATTGGAAAACAGTACCAAGGTGTTTGATCAACATTACACTGATATAAGATCCTAGCTTGTTGCAATGTAGATAAAAATGACTTATTTGTTTGGATAAAACCAAAGCTAGTTAACAGAAAAATGTTCTATTTATTTGCAGCATGCCAAGTAGAGAAATCATGTAGTGTTAGGATGCCGGTATTGCACACTTCTAGTCCACCAATCCTTGGAGTGTTGACACAACACACATAGGTGCCAGTGTGTCCCACCTTAGATGTTTTACTGACTATAAAGAGCCCTCTGTTGCCAAAGATTTTTGTTTTTAGTGAAAGATAATCCAGGTGCCGTAAGATATGTTTCAGAGGGAGGAACTGGCAAAACCATCTCTAAGTATTCTTTGAAATTCATGGTGTCGCCTTAAGTCAATAGGTGACTTGAAGACACACATACACATACAAAACCCTGTCTAAATCAAGCTGCATGACAGGAGAAACGAATATAAATAATATACAGGGATATTCTTTGTGATTTGAGACAATGCAACTGGAATGTTTTAAGGTAACATTTGTTCCCTGACCTCCCATTGTTGTTTGTCTTCAAGTGGTTTCCAGCTTACAAGAACAACCTCCTTCCATTCTAAGGTTCTTCCTTAGTTTCCAGTGTATATTCTGCTTAACTATAGAGCAAGATCAAACTTTTTCTCTGTGGTCCAAAACACACTGTAGAAATAATCCAGTTTGAGACCACTTTAACCGCCCTAGTTCAGTGCTAGGGAATCCTGGGAATTGTAGTTTATTGTGACAGAAAAGGCCAAACGTTTCATGAAACTACAGTTCCCAGAATTTTGTAGCATTGAGCCAGGGCAGTTAAAGCGGTCTCAAACTGGATTATTT